CATTGGTATGAATTACTTCTCAATGTAAAGAAAATAAAAATCCTCACTACTGGACCAATAAACAACATTCTTATCAACGGAGAAAAGATTAAAGTTGTCAAGGACTCATTTTTCTGGGATCAACTATCAACACTCATGGAAGCAGCAGTCAAGAATTCAAACGATGTGTTGCATTAGGCAAGTCTGCTGCACAAGACCTTTTTAAAGTGTTGAAGAGCAAAGATGTCAGCTTGAAGACTAAGGCGTGCCTGGCCCAAGCCATGATATTTTCATTAACCTCATATGCATGCAAAAGCTGGACAGTCAATAAGGAAGACTGTAAAAGAATTGATGCCTTTGAGTTAATAGTGTTGGAGGAGAATATTGAGAGTGCCATGGGCTGCCAAAAGGACTAATAGATCCCTTTTAGAAGAAGTGCAGCCAGAGTGCTCCTTAGAGGCCAAGACGGCCAAACTTTCTCTCTTATACTTTGGACATATTGTTAGGAGGGACCAGTCGGTGGGGAAGGATGTCATGTTTGTTAAAGTGGAGGTTCAGAGAAAAAGAGGAAGACCCTCAAATGAGATGGTATTGTCATGTGGCAGCATTGATGGAATCAAGCGTGGCAACAGCAATGAGGTTGTCCCAGGATCTGACAGTGTTTCATTCTGCTGTGCTATGGGTTGGTACCGACTCGATGGCACCTAACGACAACAACAAAAACCTCCGTGAGTGTAGTTCAAGTTCATCAAATTATTGCAATTTACCCTCGTTTCCTTTATCAAAAATCGTTCTTTAGTTTTTTATCGTTCTCTTGTCGACTTCTAATCAACAAGCCATCGAGGCTAGGTCACATGGGTATTTTCTGCATGTTTTGGGTATTCTTGTGTATCTCCCTTCACTTCATATCAGCTAGATTCTTCACTCTCAGCTCTAGCCTTCTTTGGCTATGTCCTTGTCTGTGGCCTCAGATGTCCCCAGGTATGACCACACTTTAACCAACCAGCCCTTAACCTTCAGTCGCTCAACTCCACGTCAACAGGAGTCCATGGAATGTGATGGAACTCAGCCAATTTCGTCATTGTTGCGTTTTCCCCCAATTCCACTCAGCAGTAGAACAACATCGTCAGCAATCTTGCAAGCCTGCTCAGTCTTAGAGGGAGGTTTTTCCTGACGAAACTTGAAAACTTGATGGCTTCCTGAGAAACAACTTGCTTATTCTTGGAGTAGCCAGTCATACTGCCATTTTTGGTGTTGTTTTTTCTTGGTGACCTTTATTTGAAGATGTATCTTCTGTCTCTCTAGCTATTCCAGGCTAATCTGCATGTCCTTTCTAGTAGGAATGTCCCACCTCAGAAAGTTCTGGATGGGGCTCAGGATTCCACCTAAGGTCCTATACACTGCCAAGGCTCAGCAAGTGGCCTATTTCACTGGGGAAGTTCTAGAATGCCTTTAGGTATTCCAATCAGTTATAGGCTGAAGACCAGCTTACATGCATTCTGTAATCATGTTTCCCAACATTCCTTTCTATCCCACTCAACTTTCTCCCCATTGACTTTTTGACCGTATGTTTTTTGCTAAGAAACCAGATCTGAATGTCAGTGGATTTTCTTTGCAGGTAACATTTCGTTTTTCCCTAGCTGGTTTCAGGATTCTTTCCTTATCTTTTATTTTGGACACTTTGATTATGATATGTCTTGGTGATTTTTGTTCGGGGTCTATTTTGCATTAAGTTTATTCAGCACTTAAAAGCTTCTTTTCTCGTCTGTCATGATGTTAGGTAAATTTTATTTCAGCAGCCCTTTGACTATCTTTCTGTGCTTTTCTTTATCGCTTCCTGTTCTAGAATTCCAGTCATCTCTAAGTTATTCCTGTTC